ATTTTTCTAATTCCAATTCAGTCACAATTTCACTGATTTTCACATTAACTTGTTGAATTTTTAGCTTACCACTTGAAAAGAACATTTACCAATTGAGTCAAATCAGGTTTTGATTTCCCAATAAAGTTTTAAATTAGAATTAGAATTAGCTATCAGCGAAAAAAACAAAGAACGAAGCTTCAAGGATTTCAAAGTACATTCCTGAATATACACAACAGTAAAACCACTGACATTTCAAAATAAATTATATACAACAACCACACAAAAGAGGAAACAGGTCATATTGTTAAATATACATACATAACTACATTACGTACCGTTACGCTGTATGCAGTGACACAATTTTTTTGGCAGACGAAAACCGTGGTCCTACCCACTACTTTACGCGGGGATAATTGCAACGTATGAATATAATAATTGAATATTTAATAATAAATAAAGTTTTAATTACTTATACAAGCTGATTCCGCTCAACGGCGTATTTATTAATTTTTTTTTTACTAATAACCTAGAAATATGTTATATGTAGAACGTGATTTTTGCTTGTGAAAGTTTTGTATATAAAATATGGCGCAGGAGCAAGGGTAAAAAACAGGACTTAAACAATTGAGGGGTCATAGCTGTGCAAGCAATAATAGCACGAGACATCAGTAAATTGTACGAGTACTTCTTCATTAAAAATTTTAACTAAAAAAATATATATATATATATATATAAAAAATAATTAAATAAATTGCAGTAAAAAATTGTGTATATAAAGAATAATTTAATATTCGGCATATAAACTTTGAAGCAGCATATTTAGATTAATCTTGTGATAAGTGTGCCCGTAATTGCACAACTGCTGCTTAAACAATAATAACAACACCAGCAATTTCAAGCAAAGTTATGCTACATAACTGTATTCATCACCCGAGTTGGGAGTACGTTCTATGTACTGTTTGTCGATCAACGATTCGATGCATTTTTTTATCATTGAAATACTCGGTGTAAAGCTCACTCTCGATTGTGATAAAATCTGTGTGGGAAAATATGTTCGCATTAGCATAAAAGAAACATAAATGCAAATAAAAAATAGAACACGGCACACCTCTTGTATAAGCGCATTGTGTTTCAGAACTTTGCGAGATTTCATGATACGCACAATCGCTGCTTGCAGATAAAGCTTTCTGTCCTCGTCCACTGCACTGATGGTGTGTTCGATTTGCTGCAATATACACAAATAAAAAAGTATTTAAAAATATTCAAAATTTCTCTTTAACTGTGATTGCTTTTTTTTTTTTTTGTTTTGTATTTGCTCACCTCTTGTTGAGTTTCCTTTTGTATAGCAGCTGTTATTTTGAATTTTGTTCTCTTGTTCGAATAATCGAAATTCAATTCAATTTTAGTATTGCCCTCTAAGTTTTCTGAACTCGCAATGAGTAATTTCGATTCAAGCAGCGATTGTAAATGTTTCTGAAACGTTTCACTGTTCAATTGCAGGGTGCTTTGTATTTCCTTGCAGGTAAGCGAATCACACGATTCAAATAACAGCAGCATGGCCATTTGATAGGTTTGCATTGTAACTATATATGTTTTCTTCAGATAGCCAAGCTTTAGTTCGCCATTACACATATGATGTAGCCATGTCAATTTGCGACCATTAAACGAAGTGTGATAGAACTCTTCGAACTAGAGAATAAATAATATGGGTAATATTTTGAGTTATAAGAAGAAAAAATATAAACTAAGGTTGCACAGTAGGTATAATACCCTCCAGAGGTGCATTTCTTAGCGCATAAAAGGGCATAAAAGTATCTTCATCTTGATTTTAATGGATCAGTTTGTATGACAGCTATATGCTATAGTGGTCAGATCTAAGCAATTTCTTCAGAGATTGTAGCATTATCTTAGTCGATAATCCATGCCAAATTTTATAAAGATATTACGTCAAAAAAAAAAAAACTTCTCCATACAAGCACTTTATTTTGATCGCTCAATTTGTGTGGCAGCTATAAGCTATAGTAGACCGATCTAAATAATTTATACGGAGATTGTAGCGTTGTCTTGCGCGGTAATCCATGCCAAATTTCGTGAAGATATTTCGTCAAAATAAATATTTCCATTCCATACAGAGGTTAGATTTTGTTCGGTAAGTTTGTATGGCAGTTATATACTATATAGTGATTCGATATCAGCGATTCCGACAAATGAAAATATTTTTTTTGTCGAGAAAAAGACACGTGCTAAATTTTAAACCGATATTTCAAAAACTGTGGTACAAATTCGCGTATATACAGACAGACAGACGGACAAACTTCGTAACCAACTGAATATGAGCGCTTCCAAATATAAAATATGCAACCAATATGGTATTATGTGACTTACCATTCTAATAGATTTTTCAAATTCTTGCGGCACTGCGAAGGGTATCACTACCTGCGCCGGTCCCAATGGCCATGCGCCAGCTTGAAGCACTTTGATGGATAAATTAATGCCTGAAATTTGAAAAAGTACATGTATTTGTAATTTGAAACAATATCTGTACACCATGTGATTACCTAAATCAATATTTTCCTCTTTTAAATGATTATTAAATTTGATATTCAAGTCCACCGAGAGCGAAATATCCGTAAACATACGATGCAGTTTGGTTGTGAATTCATAACCACAAGCTTGCTGCAAAATTTAACGCATTATTTTAATAAAAAGATAAAAATAACTATAAAATTGTTGTTTACCTTTAATCTATTGATCATAGCTTCCTCCGCATCCATGCTTTGAGATTGCTCGTAAATAAGTCTGAAAGTGTCGTTACTTACATATATGTACCATCAAGTTCTGTGTGGCAACGTTTTTGTGCGCCTACTCACCTTTTTGCTAACAGTTTGCTATAGAATTTTTGATAGACATCTTTATCTTCGATATATTTAAAAATTGTGATATTGTTGGTGAGTTTTTGGTCAATTTCGGCCTCGCTTGTCTTGGATTTCTTCAGCAACGTATCACAGTACTTGGCAACATATTCAGCACTTCTACAAGTTTGCCGGTCGCCTGGTCGACGATTGATGATACTCGCACAAGCTTTATCCAAGGCACTCAAAAACAACGAATCATTTTCAAATACATCCGCAATTAATTCATGAAACTTTTGATGCACTTTTAACATATTTTCCACAAATTGTATATGTATATTTTCGCCAGAAAGTGTAGAGATAGTTTCTAGCCCCTCATTTTTAATGTGATCCAAAAATGTTTGTATTAGCTGCGATTTCAAATCGTCTGCTATCGGTTTCAGTAATTTGTACATATTGCGTAAATCTTTGCGTTTCTCTTGTGATACCATTTCCTTGCATTCAGAGTAAATAAAATCAAGACGTCGATTGACAAACCGATCCTCGCACTTTTTACGTAGCCTCCACATTGAACTGCAAAAAGTGAAACATATCAAATTATGCAGTGTAAAACATTTAAAAAAATTTATCTTACGTTGCATGCAGAAATTTCTTTGCACGTTTAGTTTCTTCTTCAAATTTATTGATAACCTCCTCCATGTACTGACTGACCGTACATGTTTTCAATAGCTTTGCTGCTTCGTTATCGTAGTAGTCCGCACTGGCCATAACTAGTGGAAACTCAACTAATTCTTGATACAATTTAAGTGGTCCAGTTCTTTTGTAGCCGCGAACTTGCACGAAACTATGTACCACACTGCTTATTATTTTTACGCGGTTAGGTGTGATTTCTGGGCCTCCACAGCGATCCGCCTTAATGTCCTCCAAAATATGTTTGACCAGATCGTCACTTAACGACTTTATCATGTAGATGTGCCAAATATCCAGACCCAATTCGCCGATTTCCATTTGTTCCATGGTATCTGAAGACAAATTTCCATATACTACTTCAGCATCGGAGATTTTTTGCTTCTTAATATGTTGTTGATTTAGGTAACTATAAAGCAAAATTGTGACGTTATACTTTTATATTTTTTTCTATATATCTTATCGATTACTTACGAATATAGATTATCTAAATATTTGACACCCTGACTATATTCGGTCCACGCATCGTAGTAACGTTGCAGTAGATCTGGTCCACCATTGACACTTGACGTACTACATGGGTCAGGTGCCACTCTTGTTGCCAACATATTCTGAACATGGTTCTCTAAAAATTGTTTAGTTTCATTATACAGTCGATCAGCGTATGGCTCTGGATGCGCCACACACAAAGTATAAACATCACTAAAAGCAGTTTACAAACAAAGCATTAACACATTTCTTCTATTTATGAATGAATTACTTACCTAAATCTGGTACTCCAGTCTGAACGGTTAACATTGCCTAGCGTTATGACCGCTTCAGCAGTACTTCTGAGATTTGGCCAAATTTCATTGAAATCAACACTCTTTGGGGTCAAGGACATGCTGGCTGCTTTGCAATTAAACGCAACTGCAACAAATAGTGGAAAGCGGACAGAATAAGCAATGAGTTTGCCAAAATTCGAGTGTCAGGGCAGTGTGCGTGTTTGGTGGTGGTGCGCAGGCAGTGCTGGCGTTGTACAGGAAAAGTCGTGAAATCAGCTGCCGTGATGCAACAGTGAAATGTTTTGAGTTCTTTAAAACACTTTTAGCACATTTTACACACCGATTGAATATAGATATTTTTGTAATAACTTTGCGTTTTATGTATTTATAATCAACTAAAAATTACCTGCACAACTTTGCTCCGTAACGATAAACGTCCTCTTCTAAACTTGTTCTTCTTCAGCGCACATTCACAATATATAATACATGCAACTTACTTATTTAACTCTATATTATGAATTATGTTAATATTTATATTTTTCAAAACCGAATAAAAAGCATAAATCTTAACAAAAAACGAAAACTTCTGTAAACAGCACTGCTAGGCAAATTTTGAATAAGTGTTATAAACATTTTCTGTTAAACAGGGTTTGGGTACTACTTTTTGTAATAGATTTTCTACTGTGCAAATATTCTAAAATTCGAAATTTGATATGATATGGCATCATTTGATGTAATGGTCACAAAACTTACTGCATATTTTGTTGAAACTAGTTTTATTTGCTACAATTTCAAATATTAAAACCAAATACTACAGGATATCTTAAATTAACGTTAAAGGACTCGTATTATTTACTCATCTTCAGAATGACACTACAAATTTGTAGTTATCAAGGTTGTTACACGCAACGATTTCCTTGTAGTTCAATAACATTCTTCCAATTACCAACCGATGAACCACGACGCACACATTGGATACTAAATAGTGGAAATAAACAGCTGCTGAAACTTAAAAACAGCCAAAAACGATACTTCTGTGAAATTCACTTTCAGAAAAAGGATATTAAACCACATTTTTATAGGAAACTTTTATATAAGAACGCAGTTCCAATGCCATATATGAGTGACGATGTTTCTACACTAACCACAAATACCATACAGTTTACCGAGTTCGAGGTAGTAAGAGATTACCAAAGCGAAGTTAAAGAAACAAGTGGTGACAATTTGTTTCAGGAATACGAAATAAAGTATATATCACTTTCATGGTTATAGCAACAAATTATTAATTAAAAACTTTTCACTATTTATTAAGGAAAGGAGAATACGAACCCGTTGAAGATGAGCAGAATATGACGACAGATTACTGTTTTTTGTATGACGATTGCAACGAGAATAACATACAAGAAAACAAACTAATGACTGAAGATACGCTGGACTTACCAGAAATTATTTCAAATCACGCTGAAATAATACCTACAAAACAAGAGTCAATCATTAATATTGGTGCATCGAATGTTGACGATGCGGTGTCAACTTCATGCATTTCACCGGCAACTTCGTCCACTACAGATGTGATTTACAGTTCAGAATTGCATAATGCTTATACCACAAATGAGAGTATTGTCGAAGCTGCTGAATCAACAACAGATTTAGTGTTAAATAATGATAAAGAAATTAAAAACGATGACACAATAGTGTCCGATAAATCATACGAATCTGATAAACATTTTGCGTTATCACTTGTGTATTATTTTCAACGATTAAACGTTAAAAAGAAAGCGCAAGCCAAAATTGACATACTAACATATTTAGTAGCACTGGAGCAAGATAAGGATTCGTAATGGGATTTGTATATACTACTACATTCAAAATCTTTGTAGATGACTAATTTAGCATAAAATAGTTGAGGTATGATGTCTTTTTTATATTTTTAGTAGTTTGTAGTAAATAAAAAAAACGAAATTAAATCGTAAGCGGACAATAAAGTTGGTACTCAAACGGAATTGGTTATCAAACTATTCAATTAAACAAACAGTTTTGAGACTAAATTTTATTTGCAACTTTTTTATTTTCTTTATTTATTTAATTTTATTTATTTATTTAATTTTATTTTTCAAAAAGTTGCCAAATTAAACTACGCTATGTATTGTTCAATATGTATAACAGATGATCCCTACATTAAGCATACTCGACTATAGAAAAATACAACAAGAATATTTTGAATGTTATAAGCTTTTGCTAATTTAATAGTTGAGTTCAATAATAATTATATAAAACTTAGTATAAAATTACATTGCAAATAATTTATGCATATGCAGTTATATTTGTGTATGTACAGTTTGTTTTGAATGAAGTCGTTTTGTATTAAAAAAGATTTAAGCGAGACATAAATAATCACCCTGCGGTTATAATATGTTGGAGTATCACTTTTTATTTCAACCACATACAAATACTATTTTTAATTAATATGTTTGTGTCGTATATAAGTTAAAACATTTATGCTGTTCAAAAAATCAATGACATGAAAAACATAATATACATATTCGTGATATATTCATGAAATACAAAATATATTTATTTTCAACACTCTTTTTCATTGCATATTTGTACATTTTCACTAAAGCTGCATATCTTAGCATATGCAATGACTATTATTTGGAATAGCTTTTAATTTTCTTTGTGCAAAACAACAATGTGAGTCTATGTGCTGGACCTTGCTATTTTTTTATTTCTACTTTTGTTTGTGTGCACATCCACTTTGTTGATTGTCACGCTACTTTGCATTCGAAGCCATCTAAACAAGATTTGTGCGTGATAAATGTATGTACCATTAAGATCTCCTTTATTTCCCAAGTTGACCGTATTTATTTTTGCAAACGCCCCCTTTCGTTTCAGTTTTTTGTTATACATCAAATGATCTGAGCATTCAATCAAGTGATTTATACATTCTATGTTACTCATACGCCCTGGTGTACTATATGTTACAGTACATTTGACGCATAACTTTAACTGCGTATAAGTTTAAAAGAAAATTTTAAATTAGAATATCACTTTTTGAATAGCATAGAATTAGAATATCGTTTTTTGTAGAGCGTAAAAATTTGTCTGGGAGTATCACTTTTTCAAAGTTGTAAATTTATTTGCTTTGGCAATAATTTATGCATTTGCATTGCAAAAGATCAAAATATCACATATGAAATATATAATAAAAGTAAAATGATTTAGATACGGTTTAAATTGAAAATAAAAGAAAATAAAATAATTTTTCGTTGGATACTTTTTTAGCGTAAAAACTATAACTTTAGGTGGCGTTTGCAAGAAAACAATAAACTTGGAAAATGACGCACACCCTAATGTACCATATACATATGTATATACAAAGATATAATTGCAGACAAATTGTGCATACAGAAATACAAAGTGCTACAAGTCATAACAAATGATCACAAAGTGAAAACTGCCTTCAATATAGATTACGCCTGCTTAGCCAAGAACAAACAATAGCTTGTGCTAACTTAATTAAAAAATTATTTATAGCTTTCCTATTTCTTCTATTTTAGTTTCTTTTTTTTCAAAATCTAATTTACAATTTATATTTATATATGTATGTATCTACGTGTGTTTGTTTAAGTTGCTATTTAAGCTTGAAATGTGTTTTTAAAATTCGTTGAAGAAGTAACCATCGATAGCTGTTTCGGAAAGTTGCTGTTATTTTTGTAGTATTTTGCTTTTAGTTTTTCTTTTTATACAAAGAATTTTTCGGTTGATTTTTTTTTGCTTGACTTTTTTGTTTTTTAATTTTTCTTGAAGCGAAAGGGTCAAATTTTTTTTTTATTTATTTATATATTCTTAAAACTGTTTTATTATATTTTGACTAATTTTTAAGTGATTATTAAATACTTTTTATTTATTCTACAATTTACATCATAGTTAAATAATAAAAATATGTCTACTTGAAGCAAAATATTTATTTATAGCTTGAGATTTGTCGTTTGATTGCTAACACTTACGGTTTAATAATTATAAACAAATCTATGTGAGGATGTTGCTGTAGATGAGTTTTACAATTTTAGTTGGTCACTTGTGAGTGGTGGTGGGATTTTGTCGAACACATCATGAAAATTAATAAAAGTTATCATCTTACCATTATTTACTATACCAGAAATCAATTAACAAGAGCAAATATTGATAACTGGTATATTACCAGTTAGTGCGCCAAAAAGTATATAACCTGAGCAACATTTGAGTCCAGCTTTTCACCCAAGGCATACAAATGTTGGGACTACAGCACAGTTGAACTTAATTAGATGAGATATATCTTCTATATGAAGAGGCCCTATGCAACACTCATCCCATTTCATATGCATTTTGAAATCACTACTTTTTTTAAATTTCAATTTCAATTCAATATGCACTTTTTCTACCAGCTGTCGATATGTGATCTGAAATGCAAGTGAGCTCCCTATACTTTCATACTGAGTAGTAAATTTTTTAGTTACAAAATTTTGGATTGCCATATGCTCAAATTAAAAATCGCGAAAATATTTTTAATTTAAAAATTGAAGTAAAAATTAAAAACAATATTAAATGCTGAAAAGGGATAGGTAAAATAGGTTAAAGTGCTGTCCTTTCGGGCTCAATTAGATAAAAAAGAGAGATTTACATAATTCTAAGCGAAACTTTATAATCAAAAGCAATTAAACTTTGTAGATATTTTATTAAAATAATATTTCCTTTTCAAAAGATAACCAAAATGGTAGAACACGAAATACGAAAAAATGTAAATTCTAAAACAATTGTTATACTCTTGCAACATGTTGCTACAGAGTACAATAGTTCTGTTGACTTAACGGTTGTTTGTATAACCTAAAATTAATCGAGATAGATATAGCTTTATATATGTATATATATAAATGATCAGGATGACGAGATGGAATCCGGATGTCTGTCTGTCCGTCCGTCTGTCTGTGCAAGCTGTAACTTGAGTAAAAATTGAGATATCGTAATGAAACTTGGAACACGTGTTCCTTGGCAAAAAAGTAAGGACGAGTTCGTAGATGGGCTGCCACGCCCACAAAACGACATTAAAGGTAAACTTATAAATTGCCATAACTAAGCACTAAAATAAGAATTGTAATCTGGCACAGGGGATCGCAGTAGTAGTAGTAGCAACTCCGCCCTCCAAAAGGTTGAATGTACATATCTCCTAAACTCCTTAAAACTAAAAATTGTCAATATCGGAACAAAACTGTTCAAGCCCCCAAATACCGAATATGTCGACCACGGTACCTGTAGTGGACTTTTTACCGAAAATATCGGTCAATCTGTGAGATATACCTATAACTGAACTTTGCAGAGAATTCTTTCCTGATAATAGTATGTCTGAATGTCAAAAATAAGTTGAATCGGGTCAATACTTCCCTTAGCCCCCATATACCTAATTGAAAGGTTTTCGAACTTCGGGTTATACCTATGTGGGATACATATATCGGCCAATATGTGAGATATCTCAATGAAATTGAGAGAGCGTGTTTTACTAATATCTTTGCATTTTTGCGCCTAAAATCGATAAAATTGTTCTAAAACATCATCTAGCTTCCATATAACTAATATTAGGATTTTTGAACACACGGCTCACTTTACTCCATATGATTGGTGATGGTATGTGAGGTACCTTAATGAAACCCTGTGAGCATTTTAATAATCATCAATACTACCCCCAACTTCCATATACTGCTTAGAATGATTTTTGTAATTCTAACAAGTTTTATGCGGTTTGATGTCGGTCAGTGAGTATTATTTATGTATAAAATTACTTAAAAATATGTTCTCGAGTATACTTGAGCAATGACAAAATTAATGCAATCAGTACGTCCCTTTCGCTATTCTCAATATACACCATAATATGATTTCCGTCATTCTACCTGTATTTAAACCGTTCAGGTTGATCAAAGTGTGTGTAATTTTAATGAAAATAGGTAGACAAGTTTTATTAAAAATTATGTGGTTTAGCACTCAAGTAGAATGGAATTGGTCTATACATTAATCTAAATATAAATATAATATCCCTTATATGATTAATTCCGATCCTCTGGTTGACGTTTTCCACATCAACTAAATATATTAAACTCCACTTCGACCGAGTTAATATCACATATGTACATATATCTCATTTGAAGGTGTTTTTAATATAATTTTAGTTGACGCTAACTAAAATATAGCAAAAAAACTAAATCTAAGTTAATGGCCTTTCAAATAAGTCAAGAAGATACCCAATTTGATTGTAATTTATTCATCGAAGAATGAATGTTTAATTCTTTCGCAATATTTTTTAATATGAAATTTTGCCAACAATTGAAGGTGTTACCCCGACTTTCGTCCTTGCAAGTTGCAAGAGTATAAAATATTCGATTACACACGAACTTAGCCTTTCCTTACTTGTTTTTTTTTTTTAATTTTATTTTTAATTATAAACTTGCGATTTATATTTTTTTATTTTTCAATCCGGCATTTAGGGACTAAACTTTTTCACTAACAACACCGATTCCACACAAGTTTTTCTCTTCTGTCAAGTTATGAATAATCACAAATATCGAAATGACTTAAATGATGAATATGAAAAATGGCGTAAACAAAAGCGGAAATGAGCATGAAAATACTATAAATTCTATGACGTTTCTCTATGTTATGCAGTAACTTACTTATATTAATATTTCGAAACATCATTTACAAACATACACATTCATAAACGAGTTTTTCGTTTTTATCTAAACAAATATTTACATTTCTCTGCTACCGTTATATTATATATTATGTTTGTTATTTTTCTCACAAATTTCTCTATAATTAATTGCTACAGAGTTCATACATACAATTAAATTACGAATATACATACATACATAGCTTTAGAGAGATTTCAAGGTACTCAGTTTTATTTCGTTCTAATATAATTAAGTGTTCACTTAATTTATATAAACATATTTTTTAATTGCATTAAAGTTTTTTTGTTTTTAATTTTATTTAAAATTTTTGTTGAAGAATATATGAAATTCATATAAAAACCACAGCAAAATATATATAAATGAATATTTGTATATATGTATGGTATATTCTGGAGTTGATCATTCTTTTTGTAATTCATTTGTTTAAATTATTTGGTGGTTCACACTTGTCTTGTTATATTTATGTGCATTTAAATATACGCAAAAAGCTATAACGTAACATACGAATAAGTATGTACAGTCTAAATTCTCAACATTATACCATTTTTCAGAAAAAAAAAATCCGAAAATTTTTTCATATTGGAACTGATTTGCGGTTTTGAATATAATTTATTATAGTAAAATTGTTTAAAAACATATATTAACACCAAAAATGTTTATTATTTTTTGTACAGTATCTGTTCATCTTATTATGACCGCTGAATCAAATTATTGATATTTTATAAATTTATAATTGATTAATAAAAAACACATTAATATTTGTAATTTGGAAGTGTGCGGCAATGTGTTCTCTCAACCATGGTTGCGAATTTTTGAATTAAAAAAAGTTTGAATTAAATATTTTATTTTGAATTTAAATTAA